GCTGATCCTACTATATTTATCTGCGATTATCTGTCGAATGATGATAATGACGAAAATGCTAATAGTGCTGATGCAGCTTATATATATATATATATATATATATATATATATATATATATATAATGCTGATGATGATGATAGTGCTAATGATTCTCATGGTGCCGATGGAGCCGATGATTTTGATGATGTTTCTGATGGTGATAGTGGTTCTGATGGTGCTGATGACAATATCGAGGTCGTGCCTGGCTATCGGTAATCCTAGCATCATGAGAATCATCAGCACTATCGTCAAAATCAGCAGCACCAGCATGATCAGCACCTTTAGCATAATCAACATCATCAGCTCCATCAGCATCAAAGCACCAACAGCAGCATCAGCATCATCGGCAATATATATGCATCATCAGCTGCATCAGCATTATTATGTATCTATATATGTGGAACACTTTTTTCCGACTATTGGTTATCACGTTTTTATCGTGACATTTTATTTATCATCAGACGACTGTCATTCTAGCTGTTCCCATTGTGACGACAACTTGAAAAGAACGACAGTTAATCGTGTCGTACTATATGTGAACAACTTCATTTAAATATGCAAGCTACACTGTAAACTGCACGACTACCTGTCGTCACGACATAGTGGAAACGCGCCCTTAGGAGGTTATATTTATAAAAATGTAGAACTTACATTTCCGCGGGTAGATTGCCGATAGTCCGTTAATCTTTGCTAGTTGAGTTAAATTGAAAGATTTAGTGGGCGGTGCGGAAATAAGTATTCAATTTTGGAAAAGAAGTTTTGTTTCATCGAAATGGAATTGCCTTGAAAAGGTACATATGTATGTTATGGAATTTGAATTCATTACAATGGTTTTTGTTTGGGAATTGATTTGTAATTGAATTACATAAAAAGTTGAATTATACGGCGAAAACGACTAGTGGTAATTCATATTCTTCAGTTTAGTAACTGGCCAAGGAGTGCATCCCGCATTTTGATGAACCAGCAGAAACCCGGTAGTCAGGCCAGAATGGGATGGCGACACCATGGTAATAAATTCTGGATGGCGACCACTGGGAGGAAAGTCATGGATAGCGGTGGCGCTGTTATCTTTAGGTTTCGAGTGTTGATAATAGCTTATACAAGGAATAGAGTGCTTTGGAATTCAGTTTTATGGTAGTGACTTTCAACAAGGAATTAGGACGAGTTTACGCTAGCTAGCGTAAGGCTAATGAGATTGCAGTGTGCACAGGTAAGTACGTAATTGTGTTGAATTCACTGCACTACGCGTTTTTTTACTTTTGTTATTTTACTTACATTTTGTATACAGCTCGACGTATGTTTAATAGAGCAATACTGAAGTGTTATGTACATTTCCTCTTCTAAATTTGCTACTGACCGATTGCTTAAAATTATTTTATTAATACAATTTTATTATTTTAATGTGTCGTGCGATTACTGTTATGCATCACCCTGAAACATGAAGTTGACAAGTCCCACGTGCCTATAGTTTCACATGGTTTCACCAACACCCGTACCCTTCAAAACCGGAACAAAGTAAAGCTCACGCTTTGTGAACAAAGCACATGAAGCAGAGCTCTACTGCTACTAAAGGTTATTTCCATTGATTCAGCTAATTATATAGTCAAAGATCATTCTATAATACCTATATTCATTACTACCACTGAATTTCGCTAATTGCATGTCTTGGATACATCAATCACATTGTATCTCTACCCGTATTAGCGCCGATCCATTGTCGTTCAATTGAATGAATTCTTAGAACATTACTTGACATACAACATTATTTCTTATTCACATTGTAATGTTTAAGTTGTTGCTAGTTGTAATTATTAATACAAACACCACAACAGGCAAGAAACTTACTATACAACCTGGCAATAGCAAAGGCAAATATTTACATTTGTTACTTACTCTTCTGTCACTTAACTTTTGTTTTGCTTTACTGCAAACCACACAGGTTGGCCACAAAGTGGTTTGTGCAGACTGAGGATAGACCAGTAATCCTACTACACAATTGATCAATCCCAGTTTAGCTCAACTTATGATGTTTAGTATCAGTGCTTTTACAAACTTAGTCCAATACATTGACGGATTGATCCGTAATCTCTGCCCACTTCATTAGGCTGCTTGGTAACGTGTATAGGTGTGTACCATACATTTTACAGCGGAATGATCGTCGTGAAGCATAAATTGGGATTCGTGGCTACAATTGGAGTAAAGAAAACATTTTTACTGTAAATAAATATTGTAAGGTTCATTCTAATACTGCAAATTGATTAATTTAATATACAAATATATCTCACTTTATTTTTGTTTATCACATCGTTTAAATTATCAATGTTTAATTCATAACAAATAGTCATGAAGTATTGTCTTGACTTTGTTGGAACTACTACTGTTTACTATGTTATTATTTATGTGTTTTATTATTATAAGGGGTTCGGCATTGAGAACTACAGCTTCCACTGGGTTATCTTTCGTCTCTCTTTTGTAATTGTCGTAACTAACGTTACGACACTGAACATGTCGCACGCTTGGTGTAATAAGGCCACATCTGCAAAATAACCACTTTTCAGGATAAAGATTCTACGAACAAAATTAGACGATAACTTATTTACCTTAAATAGGAGAGTTATATAATTTTACATATAAATAATTTGTTTTATGTATTTCGTATTATTTTTATGACTTTCATGCAATGATATAATATATATTACAAGGTTCGATTGCTTCCGACAGGACGTAGAACAACCAGGTTGTCAGCTTACACGCCTTTATGAATATCACTTTAATGAATAATAATTTTTGATATTAAAATGTTAT